GCAAGACTATTTTAATAAAAAGTTGTCTATCCTTACGACCTAAATACTAACGTAAAACCTAGAAGGGGAAATAAGAAACCGGTCCGTATCAAAGGTATAAAAATAGGTTTTCACCTAAATCGAGTGGTAAGGCATAAAAAAAACTTTTGCAATTCTATCACATTTGAAATTTAAGCTCCGAATATGATTTCTAGATTAGACATCGAAGAGCAATACCGAGGATCTGCTCTCGGTATGGCTTTCTAACATATATGTGCCACACATCATGCAGCATGTTACCTGGAGTGCTCATTGGAAGAAGCCCTTAATGAGATAGCCACATAACAATTGTGTCTACACGTAGCAAGATTGGCACCATCCGTATATAACCATGCAAGAAAAGGCACAATCATCTCGCCCGGCCATCGAAACACCATTTATCCCAATAAATTAATCTATGTTTTCACGCCAACCGTATCGACATATTAGGTTGTTGAGCCACATCTCCACAACGAAATTTTGACCCAGCCAAATGCACATCATGATACGGAGGCCAACGAATGATCCAAAAACGATAGGCAGGAAATCTTTGCCATAATGGAAACAATTAATGGTTTGAGAACAGTAATAGAATGTGCATATAGAGATACAACAAAACTTAAAACAAAAAACAAAGAAATCATGATGCTAACGTTGGCACATTCGCTATTGTAGAAACTAGCCGGCAGCTTATTAGCCAACCAAAATGTGCAACCCTACACATTATTATTGCCACCTTTGCCTTTTGCACACTATCAGGCATATTGGCCACCTCAATACTAGCTAGCGTATACCCCGAAACTTGCCTCAAATGGACACCCACCCCTCAAAAACAACAAAGCATACAAACCATGGGTCATAAAAACAAAGGCACCACTAACACACAGGTCGTATGATCAAATAACTAGTAAGTAACATAAGGGAATATCAACTACTAGCTGGAGCAAATATACCATAAATCACAAAATTTAATGGGAAAGGTGATGCTGAAGATCACATACAAACCTATAGGTGGATGATGGATGCTTACTACCTTGATGAAAAATATCGGTGTATTTTCTTCCCAACCACCATATTGGGAGCAGTCTAGTTAAGGTATAAAAGCTTGTCGACAGAGACCATATGAGATTTCAACCAATTGCAAGAAGAATATGTAGGGTAATTCATACAACAAAGGAGATACACGTTAGATACATAAGCTATCCATGGGTGAAGATAGCGGAAGGATGAATCTATAAGTGCCTTCAGACAATGATTTAAGAAAGACACATTGAACACCCTGGAGAAATCAGACAACACGGTATTCGTCGTGTTCACATGCGATTTATGACCAGGGACCTTGTTTAAAAAATTAGTAGGTAAACAACCATCTTCCAGAAAAGAAATGATGGAAAGGGTTCATCGATGCATGAAGAAATAGGATGTAACATCTGAAAAGATAAAAAAACAATCAAGGAGAAACAGCACCCCAAGTACCATATGCTAGAGGAAACACATCCAAAAATGCAAAAGACCAAACGACAAGACAAACTCGCTACCAGCATTTCCTACAGTCCAATCACAACATGCCATCAAACTGGCATGGTCCTCAAAATGAAGTCGTTGCAATAAGCGAAAGCAAAAAGCACACAAGAAAGAAAAATGGGGGAAAATACAAGAGACAAGGATCAAGGGCGATATTGCTAATTCCACGAATCTACAGGACATGACACTATCGAATGCACTATGTTGCGATGGGAGCTGGAAAAAAAGATGCAATAAGGACAAATTACCGACATGATCAAAGGACTCTGATATATGCACAAGGATAGCATTGCACCACTAGAACCAAAAATACCAAATACAAGAAAAAGTGAAATGTTCATGTTGAAACATATTGACCAACAAGAGTTAACTATAGAGTGGGAAAATGCCACCTTCACATTCAACGAGTGGGATTATAATCATGACCACTACAGAGGAGATCAACCAATCGTAATAAGAGGAATGATGCGATGAAACTACACAAGCAATATCTACATAGATGTCATGCATAATCACTTTTTCAAGCAACTACCCAAACATGTGCATGCAAAAGCAAATTTGTCAAAGAACCACCTGGTAAGCTTCGTCGACCACAACGTATGGCTAGAGGGAATAATCACATTACCACTAAACATTATTGATTATCCTAACGGGAGGAATAGTACTCAACTAGTATGTTTTGTCATCATAAATGCAGCCTCACCCTATAACATCATCTTTGGATGAACACAATGCATAAGTTCAAAACCATTGCATCAACATTTGATGGAGAAATCAAGTTACAAACAAAGTCATGTGTTGGAATACATGAAAAAAAAGTTGGTACAAGGAAGTAAACCCAAGTATGAGCATAACATGGACAAGAACCCGATTCAATTCGAAATGCATAAGGATAACCAGAGAATGGAGGAAAGGGACGGAAAGAGTACCACAAAAAATACCACTCAATATGTAAGAACCTTTAGATGAACAAATAAAAGACAATAAATGCCTCACACAAGGATTGTAACTATTAGGTAATAAAGCATCGTGGAACATTACCGAAGCTAGAATGTCGGTGGTTGTTAGACGTCATAAATGGACAATAAACATCGTGTTGGTTACGACGCCCAAAATGAAGTAGGTACTAGCACAACAGCAACAAGACGTAGCGGAATACAAGACAAAATAAGGAGATACACAAGGGCCATAGGTTAAAAAGTACAAGAGGGGAATCTATGTTAGGAAGGAGAGAATGGGCAAACCTGAAAAGATAGGAAAACTAGAAAGAAAAGGAGTTGTCAAAACTGAAAAGCAATAAAACGACTAACCAACATATATAATGTAAGTCAGAAGACATATACTCAATCACCGATAGGGGCTAAAGGAAGAAAGAGATCACCAACAAAGATACCAACATAGGGAATCAAGAAAGCTAGAATGGTAAGAAGGAATGCAACAACACCCATAATTGGCTATGGTAGATAGTAAAAAGGCACATGATGAACGTGTCTGATTGTAGTTAAATGGTGTCAACCTACTAAAAGCATGTTGTAGGAAAAAAGGAAAAAGCCACTGTTGTTGTTTCATAATAAATAAAAACAATCATGGAAGCCCATAAATATCTTTATTCTTCATAGACATTGTAGCTCGGCCAACCAATTACAACTTTACAAATGTCGACGTTCAACACTCCGACCTTGGCTACCTACTTAGCCCAAGAATATCTTTATTATTTACAAACTTTGTAGCTTGGTCAACTGACTATAACTTTACAAAGTTCAAAGTTTAACACTTTGATTTAGGTTGGCTACTTAGCCTAAGAATATCCTTATTCTTCCTAAACATTATAACTTAGCTAGTCGACTACAACTTTACAAAGTTCGAAGTTCAACACTCCGACCTAGGCTACTTGTTTAGCCTAAGAGTATCTTTATTCTTCACAAAGTTTCTAGCTCGGCCAACTGACTACAACTTTAAAAAGGTCAAAGTTCAACACTCCGACCTAGGCTACCTACTTAGCCCAAGAATACCTTTATTCTTCATAAACTTTGTAGCTCAACCAACCGACCACAATGTTAGAAAGTTCGAAGTTCAACGCTTCAACTTAGGCTACATGCTTAGCCCAAGAATACCTTTATTCTTTACAAACTTTATAGGTCGGCCAACCGACCACAACTTTACAAAGGTCGAAGTTCAACACTCCAACCTAGGCTACCTGCTCTGCCCAAGAATATATCTATTCATCATAAACTTTGTAGCTCGGCTAGCCAACTATAACTTTAGAAAGGTCAAAGTTCAACACTCCGACCTAGGCTACCTGCTTAGTCCATGAATATCTTTCTTCTTCATAAAGTTAGTAGCTTGCCTAGCCAACTACAACTATACAAAGGTCCAAGTTCAACAATCTAACCTAGGCTACCTGCTTATCCCAAGAATATCTTTATTCTTCACAAACTTTGTAGCTCAACCATCCGACTACAACTTCACAAAAGCCAAAGTCCACAACTAGGCTACCTGCTTGGCCCGAGAGAGCCCACATTATTCTTAAACTATATCGTTCCATGAGGCAATCACAATTTTACAAAGGTCAAAACTTTGAAACCTTGACGTAGAATATACATAAATTTAATAGACATCAGGGGGATCAAGTAAATAGCGCCGCCAAGCAAAAAATACTTACGTCGTCTTACAAAGAAACCACCTCAAAACCATAAAATACAAGGAACAAGTTACGAGAGGAAAATTATAATCCCATAATGCAAATAAATGGCTATCACACGGACAACCTGGAAAGCCACCAATAATATAAAAATCAACGCATGCAGCCGTGCAAACAAATAATCGAACCATAACCACCCCATCAACCCAAGCATCAACATAAAGAAAAAGTCGTTACTTACAACATACCCAACACAGAACAATTAAAAAAATAAGAAAAACAAATACAAGTGTTACGTCAAGTTCTAAATAACCCAATATTAGGAATACAACAAATAATCATAACTAAACCATGAGATTCATGCCAAATATAACAAAGAAACAATACAACAACATTCAAGGTCTACCACCACCTGCAACACTACCATAAACACACGTTGACACACCACCATCACTTAGAGGACCCACCAATATATGTAATTGCCCAACATATGTTACAGGAAAACCAAATTCATACTAGTAATCACTACAAAATATAGATGAAAACGCTTCCTCCATCTTCTACACACGCATTGGATCATATAACGGAATGTCAGTCACATTTAAACCCAGATTGTGCTCTATACTCCTCATCTTACAACCATCTCTCTTACTAAATTCAATAAAACTAGTTTGAAGATTTCGGTTAGCCTTAAAGATTGAAGACTTAGTGATGAGTTTGTCCACCAGCTTCGAGATCCCTTGAGATAACAACTAAGATACATCGTAATTCACCTTCCTTAACTGATTCTCTAACCCAAACACAATTGCATAAAAATCTATTTACTAGAGGAAGAGTCCATCAAGTTGCCCTTCAACTTCCGAATTGCATGCTCCAGCATAGCTAGCTTGTCCACTAGTCCAATCCTTTCCAACTCACGAGATGCTACCATAAGCTTTAGCATCAAAACGTCCTCAACAACATCTTAATACCCATCTAAATTACTTTCCATGTAACATTTCTTACTTTGTATAATGGACAGTTCACTCCTTACCTTATCCATCTCGTCTGAACAACCATTTCCATGCTTATAGAGATTTTCTCTAACTCAGCGACCCTTTCGACAAGCTTTACATATTGATCGTGCAATGATTTCATATTACAAGAAACACCACCAAACAAAACCAGAAATGGTTTAACAAGATTAGATATCTTATTAAATTCATCCCAAGGGGCACATTTCTCTAGATGCAACGCCTCATTAACCTCAAGCCACGATATAGCCTCTTGACCTAGAACCATGTTTTCAACAAGTTTAACTTAATACAATAATCCAATATGATCTCAACAATCTTGGCTGACACTTGAGCGGGTCCCTAAAGAAGAAAAGTTTACAAAGAAAGAATTAAAACCCTTGGCTCTATTAAAATTTGCTCCCGCCTATACTCCCAAGACGGAACATAAATAGGACCAGATGAGTGATGAACACTGGTATCATGTGGAGGGTTGTTGATATTCCAAATCTTTCATCTCAAACTCATTTTTCTTGGTTGCCTTCAAGTCATTTATTCCAACCATGTCTTTAGTTGCGATGAGCATATCATCAACATATAACTATATATATATATATATATATATATATATATATATATATATATATATATATATATATATATATATATATATATATATATATATATATATAGGAATCTAGTGACAGTTCCTTTGAGTAAACACAATCGTCAAACTTTTTCCGAGTATGGCCATTCGAGACCATGAATGAATCAAATCTCTGATACCATTGTCTTAGAGACTGCTTCAAACCATACAAGGATTTCTTTAGCAAACATACATGATTCTTATTAGAATCAAGGAACCCTTATTGTTGGGACATATAAATCTTCTCCTCTAAGTTCCCATGAAGAAATGTAGTTTTCACATCAAGCTATTCAAGCTCCAGATCAAGTACACTCACCATAGACAAAAGAACCTGAATTCTCTTGTGCTTCACGACTGGTGAGAACACCTCGTGATAATCAAGTCCTTTTTTCTGAGAAACCCCTTTCGCCACCAACCTTGCCTTGAACCTAGCTGGATTAACTCCTGGTATTCATTCCTTCTTCTTAAAGATACATTTTCATTCCACTAGCTTCGCTCCTTTTTGTAATGGAACAAGATCCCATATTTCATTATTCTTTAAAGATTGCATTTCTTCATTCATGGTCATTAACCAGCCATTTTCTTCTTTACTCATGACAGCCACTTTATACGATTAGGGCTTCTCAATGTCAATGTCTTCTCCAGTTGCTAATGTAAAAGCAATGGAGTCAAGTTCACTTTAATTCACACATCCCACATATCTACCAGGCTGTCGAATGAACCTCCTTGTCCTTTTCTTTTCTATTAATTTAGACCCATCATCCTTCCTAACATCAACACCACAGGACGATGATTCTATGGTTTGCTCTTTGGTTTCATCTTTTCTAGGCTGTGCACTACCGCTTTGCTCTTTTTCCTTATCAAAACTCTTTCTGGAGTGTGACTTGTGAACCCCACATTCTGGCTAGCACCCTGATCTTCGTAGCATGCTTGACTTGTATCACCTCCTCCCTAGTTACCCATGGCAGATTCATCAAAGGTTACATCTCTACTTATGATAAATTTAGGAGTTCTTCCTTCTTTTGTACACCACAGTCGATAACCTTTTACTCATGTTGCATCCTAGAAATATGCACTTCATTGCCCTTGGATCAAGTTTACCATCAATCACATGAGCATATGCGAGGCATCCAAATATACATAAACTAGAATAGTTAGAGGGTTTTCCAGACCATACCTCTTGAGGAGTCTTTAAGTTAATAGCAGTTGATGGTGATCTATTCATAGGATAGCAAGCAGTATTAGCTACTTCCGTTTAGAATTGCTTGGATAAGTTAGCAAATGTCCGCATACACCTTGCATGTTGAATGAGTGTTTGGTTCATCCATTCTGCTACTTCATTTTGTTGTGTTGTGTGTTATACAGTGCAGTCCCTAAATATACCTTCTACCTTGAATAAATTTTCAAATGGAGCATTGCAGAACTCCAACCCAATGTCAGTCCTCAGAGTCTTCACCTGTTTTCCAGTCCTTTTTTCAGCCATGGTCTTCCACTCCTTGAACTTCCCAAACACCTCATCTATGGTTTTTAAAAATTACAACCAAACCTTCATTGAATAGTCATCAATGAATGTCATAATGTATGAGAATTCTCCTTAAGACTTCACTTGTGCAGGACCCCATAAATCTGAGTGAACATACTCTAGGATTACCTTACTTATGTGTTGATCGGTACCGAACTTCACTTTGCGATGCTTTCCCTTGATGCAAGTTTCACAAAATTTTATCTTTCTAGTAGCCTCTCCACCAAGCAGTCCTTATCTACATAGAACTGACATGCCCTTCTCACTCATGTTCCCTAACCTACGATGCCACAAATCTTTCTTGTCATCACCTTCATTCAAGGATTGGGAGATAGCTACCATTTCCACCACCGTACTATCTTCTAGGATATAAATCCCTCCACGATTCATCTGCCTTTTCATTATAACAAGAGAAACTTTGGTCACTTTGATGTAGTTACCTTCACCAGCGTACCTCATCCCATCCTTATCCAATGTACCAAGAGAAATTAGATTCTTCCAAAGTTCTGGAACTTACCAACAATCTAACTTCCTTACCATTAAATTGTGCATCTTGAACTGGACTGTGCCATTACCTTTGATGTTGCTCACCCAATCATCACCCATCTTGACTATGCCATCCCACTCTTTAAAGGAGTCGAACAAGTCACGATTATACATCATGTGATAGTGTACTCTGGCATCCAAGACCCAAGCATCAGTAGAACTTTATGTACATACACTTAGTGTATCACCATCATCCCCTTCATCAAAACTTTCTTGAACCATAGTAGCAGTATTATTGTTGTTTAATTCACTCTTAGACTTCTCATTCATCATCTGTGGACAATTTCGATTGAAGTGACCCTTCTCCTTAGAATTGCAACACTGGGCATTTGATGAACCATTAGACTTGTGAAGTACTCTCAATACTTCATCTGTCAAGCTCAATAGAATGGCACTATGTGCCTTTGTCAGAATGTCCTCCTTCTTGTTAGTTGCCATGTCCTTTGGTAGTTTTGCCTCTCCTTTCATTGCAGCCGCACATCCTTTTTGAACCAGAAGAACCATTATCTTCACCTTCCACAATGTGAAGTCATTTGAACTATTGAAGTTCCCAAAATCAAACTTGTGAGTAGACATCTTCAATCATTGGAATACAAACCGCAACTTTGATATCACTTGTTAGGAAGTAATGAAAATAACTAGCAAAACTATAAGCACACAACACACACTATTTTTGTGTTTTCGTCAAGGTTACATACATCCATAGGCAGGAAGGGAGTATTGTTTTATTTTAGAGCTCTCAAGTAGAGGTTACAAGTACAAACACTCATAGATTCGCATATCACTCTAGAATTCAGAATACAAAATGACCAAGAATGCTTCCCTATTTATACTTGAGGGATCAGACCTAAAACCCTAATAGGCCAAGCTTGTTGGCCCATAGGCCCGTGAAAGGTGTCAACCAATCACAATCCATCATGTAGGATCTTTTAGAACATTATTGAGCATTATCATCTTCTAGGTATACTTGAATCAACAAGGCACAACAAAGGAATCAATATCGCACATCATGTACCAAGATGGTCCATAATCGTGCAACAACTTCTTCATAGCACAACAACAACAACTTAGTAACATCATTTTTTGAGTTGTTATGTTACTGCATAACATTTATGAACCAAACATTTCTTTCTTTTTTTTAAATATTTAGGTGACTACAGGGGAAGGGTGGTTTGATAAAGGAATATTTATATGGTTTTCTTATGTTTGGGCATCATTCAGTTCTTTTATGTACGATACATTCTTTAATTTGATTTTGGTTTTATTGGGTTAATGTCTTAATCATGTGTATAAAAGCTACTCAAGGAATCTCATATATAACTATGGTTATTGCATTTTTATATTATGATGCCTTCATAAGAAAGGAATGTGTAATGTCCTAATGGAATAACTTAACTTGTGATGCTATAATTAGTAAATAAATGAAAATATGTTGCTATTCTTTTTTCTAATTTCAAGAAATAGCAACATACTTCTATTTATATGTGCATTAAAGAAGAGAAGAAATCACATAGCGAACAAGAATAACCATAATGGAACATCAAATGAAAAATGGTAGTGCCAACACTTCATTTTCTTTGTCATGTTCTAATATTTTAATTTTTTTAGGGCATTTCAGAAACTTATCCAGGATGAGGCTCTTTGGTAGAACCAAATAGGGTGTATGTGGGTGAAAAGAGCATCACTTGGCACAATCTACCAAATATTACAAGTATAATCACATTCAAACTTTATTTTCACTTTTCATTTTGGGCAATGTTCAGTCATATTTTGGGTTTAAAATTTTCAAAATACCTTGTTAAAGTTATAATTTTTTCAATCGGCATCTTGATGGTTGAATACATATATTTCATGTCTGAAGCAATCAGGGGAGGTGGCAACTTAAAGCATGACTACCGAAAAAGTACCTTTAGGCTACTTAAAGGAACATAAAATGGACAACCTTAAGGCACCAAAATATTTGAAAGTTATATAAATCTTCTATATGTATGTTTTTATAATCATACATTAATACCCATAATACAATTATCTTATGTTATGTGATAACAAGATTTCCTAAATTCCTATTTATAATACATGTATTTTAAATAAATATGGTCAAAGATTGAAGGATTTGAGATAAATAGTCTAATAGTTGAGTTTTTTTGGTGCAATTATAGGGAATGAATCGGTTCCTTACTCTTTATTAAACTCTAGATTTTCAGTTTTAGTCAAAAATTGTCTTCATTTAACACGCATTGAGCAATAAAATCTTGTATTATAAGGTATGTTTCTCTTATAATCTACACATATCGTACATTTACTTTAATGAACTTTGGGTATTTATGACTTCCAACCTTATCTTGAGAAAGTAATGTTGTAATTTGACTTCTATGCAACTTAGGTAAAATGGTGAAATTGAAAGCGAAAGTGAAGGAGTTTACTTGTAACGTTATAATTTTTTAAATACAACGGAATTTGATGAGAATTATTATCGAGATTATGAAAGCAATTATGATTTGAGTGATTTAAAAGTAAGAACACACAAAGTAAATATTAATCAGATCTTATATTGATAAAGACTTATTACAAGCAT